AAATTTAAATTTAAATATTAACTAATTTGTTTTAAGTAAATATTAATTATGTTTGTTTGAGAAAACCATGGTGTGAACTGCTTCCTTAATTTACAAAGAATTATTCTATATATATATATATACCGGCGTATTTCAAAACTTTGCAAGCATGATTTAAGCTTCGGTATTAATAATAAATACCCACAGTGGCGCCATCTTTTAATAGATTATGTAAAAATATCGGGAAAAATAGTATTTTTACTGTGAGATGGCACTAGTATCAACGTAAAGCAAGCTACTGAGGACTTTCATACCCCTGATTTTAGGTTATGTTTCGGTTGTAAACCATTACTACTGATATCGATATTTGAAAACGGTTTTCAATAACGATATGAAAACTAAATATCAGTTATGTAACCGTTGCAGCCAAAATCTGAAAACGCCCACGCTTACTAAACACTAATGATTACTTTGATGTGATATTTGGCACAGGTGTCACTGACAGTCATACCAACGTAGAAAAAAATTTCGACGAATATATTTCCGCGCGAAATTTAAATTAAAAAGTCTTACTATTTATGCCCACAGGATTGTCATATATAGCAAATTACTACCATCTTCAAACATAGCATACAGAAGTTCTGCTGTGTAACAATTTTCTTTGACCTTGCATAACGAAAAATGTAACTTTAATTCATCCCATTGTAAAATGCGACTAACAGCTGGGAATATTGATAGGCATCGTGTAGCGTATCGTACACATTTTAAGAATTTTCAAAGGCTGCGACCAACAATTTATGGTCTCATATATGTTGAAAACCAGTTATAAGTCTCCCTTATTATGTACCCAATATTACGTGGCAAGGTTTTTTCAGAAGCATGACTTACCGCTAGCTGCAACGAATGACAAACACAACGTACAAGTACTAGATTAAGTAATCTCATGTTCTGTTTTCAAAATTTGATGCAAGCCATTATTCACACCAGTCATCACTGAAGCATTATCAGTACATATACCGAGTAAATTTTTTAATTTTAAATTATTATCGTTCAATTTGTTTATGATTGCTTCAGCAAGCCCTTTTGCATCAGCTTTTGTAATAGCTGTTAATGCCAGACATGTTGACAGAACTTTATTTTGTGAATTACTGAAATACCTTATTGCTATTCCTAAGTATTTCAGGACACTGATGTCATTTGACTCATTAGACTGAGGCTGTAGCCGTTAGAAGGAAAAGGGGAGATCTCCCGCTGGGCTAGGTGTTCTGCCCGGGGAGCGGCTAACGCTCCGAGTGGTAGTTCGGAGCTATTCTATATATATACTCGTATATTGCTTTAATTTCGGAACTTTGTTAGCACGATTTAGGCTTAGATGTGTTTCACTTGTGGCGCGACGACAGCGCCGCCACAAGGCTATCTTGGTCGCCGATATCCAGCCTCAGCGATTCTTCGACGTGTGGTCCCAATACTTCATTAATTATTTCAGAACATTTAGTTCTATGTTTATTACACATCTCACCCAAATGCTCTACTGTCAGCACGGAACAATGTTCGGCAATAAATAGAACCATGGCTGCTTCTGCTCTACTTGAGGGCTTTATTTTATCAACTGGCAGGAACGGTGGCAAGGGCTTTTGTTTCGTTATTATTTCCGCTTTTGATTTGTGTTTTAGACTCCCAAGTGTTTTTATATCACTGATTTGGGCAAAAAATTCAGCTTGACACCAATGTCATTCCTGGAACCGGTACCAACCATCTTTTGAAGTCTGGATTGTCTTCCCACTTTTTTCTATATTTCTGTAAGTAACTTTTTTTCTTTATAGATATTTCCATTGTTCAACAAACGTAATAAATTACTGACCTTCTATTCTACGTAACTTTGGGTTTATGTAACTTACAGCAAATTTAATAAGCACCCGCTAATCTTGTACAATTCGAAAGCACAATACACTCCATCAAAGAATGAATACTCAAATATACAATACTTTAAGTTTGAGCGAATTAAGCGCAGAGGCCCTTTTCATACGCAATTCGTTCGCAAGGATTCTTTGAACACTGCCATATGAGATCCTTGTGACCTCAGCTATATGCCTGATGGTCACTCTTCGATCTGCCAATACGATATGTTCGACTCTTTTCACGTTATCTTCAGGGAGGGATGTGGATGGGCGTTCATCTTCCGTGGATATTCAGCCCAGCTTAAACTCCTTGGCCCAGCGTGCAACTGTTAAAGGAACAGAGTCCTTCAATGTTTCACCAAGTCGCTGTGTATTTTTTGTTATAGGATCGGGTGACAAACGAGCACACAGTCCACCTGATGGTAAGTGGTTACTATGACCCATAGACATCTACATCTATCCTCAATAAAGACTCAAGATGCAGATGCGTTGTCACCCGTGAGGATTAAGATGGAATGCCTCTTTGCCAGTAAAAAGGGTCTCCGGTTCTCTACACTCACCATACGAAACACAGCAGCGTTAAGCTGCTATTTTACGCTGGTTATCTGTGAGAGCGTGGTCCTTCCCCGGTCGAGGCGACCCATTCGTGCTACAACCATAATATAGCTGCAGCATGGCTCTACCACGTAAACGTAACGTGTATGTCTTTGGTAGACATTTTTTAAACAGAGGGAGCTCTCATTTAATTTTTCTCCATTTTGATGTTATCTCTTTGATGATTTGTATTCAAATGAGTGTACCTCTCGGGAATCGTAGCCTATTTATATGATTTTTATTAATTCTGATCTAGTGGGTACATAAGCAAGCAAAAAAGTTTTTTTCGGATTTTTATTTGCACTGGAAATAACCTATTATCATTATTTTTGGATCACCCCTCGTATTGAGGAATACGATTTTTCATTAATGTTCCGGTTCCATTTATATTTCTCTCCACTGTTTCCCAATACAGGAATAAATGTGGAATAGCGGTTTTTTTTTAACTTTCATGCAAGTCTTTTCATTGTTGCTCGGCGTCTAGCTTCGATTGTTAAGTTTTTTACATTATTGCCTGCCAGTATCTGGAGACTTTCCGTACAGGCCCTGACGTTTGGCGCGTAAAAAATAAAATGGCCTAACGCTTGAGGGGTTAGCAAAAATCAATATTTAAGGTTAACTGAGAGGTGTAGCCTAATAAATCTTCCGCTTTATTATATTATTATAGATTACAAAGTTATAATGCAGTTGTTGTGTTATGTTCATGTTATTTTTATGTTTATGTCATATTCTCTTACTCCTTAGGTGTCGTTCCAAGCTTATGGAAGACAGCCTTAGTGCATTCGATTCCTAAAAAAGGCTGGGATCTATCCAAATACAGGCCTATCGCCGTCACCTGCTTGTTATCCAAAATAATGGAATCCATTATTAACTGCCAGCTCACGCGGTATCTTGAACAGCATAAGCTGATTTGTGACCTTCAATACGGTTTCCGTCGAAGCTGTTAGGATCGATAGGACGGAAACGGCGTGTATGTGTGTATGTATACATACATACATAATACATACATAACTTTGACCACTGTGAAATTTTACGGCAAACTCCTAGCCACTGAGCTACCGGGCCTAGTTTTGAATCTTTGTATGGCCTGCAAATAATTCCTGTATCTTAATCTTCCACTAAACTTTCACTGCTGAACATGGAAGGATCTCTCCCGATGTAGGGAGGATATGCCTTGAGCGTCACGCTTGGCATACGACTGACGATCGCAGAACCAGACGTGAGCACCTCTGGCAATGTTGTCTGGCGCCGGTCTGGATATTTTACACCTGAAGCAATCGAAGTGGTTGTACCGCCATCTGTGGGAAGCCATCAGATTGTTATTAGAAAACCCATAGTCGCCTCTTACGAAACCCACGGGATAAAATGTGATAATGAATTCTCTTATGCCGCACTTACACGCCAACATCGACTGTACTGTGTGTATAACACTAGTTCTGTGTGGAATTCGAAACAGCGATTATTAGATTAATGTAATTATAACATAGGCAGACAAACCCTTCTTTCCCTCCAAAAATGAATATGAGAGCTATTCTTCGGAGAAATTGGCTAAAATACTTTATATCTAGCAACATTATTTAGTATAATTATGTAAAATATCACAGTTTCTCTATCTCTGCTTGGATTAAATAACAGAATGCCATAAGGCATAAACTCCGCCCATTGTAAACCGTTTAAGGTGTCTTGCAATAAAGATGCAATAACTTACAATAAATAAAAAGTTTAACTTCGACAAATAATTTTTCAGAAACTTCTGAGAAGAAGATTAAATCAAATTCTACTGATTGTAACATAAACGATGTTCGTGAAGAAAACCTCGATTTGGAACGCCATCCTATTGAATTAAACCCTAAAATGAAAAAAGATAATCAACCAATTAATAAAAAAGACAAGCATCCGGCAAAGATAATGAAAAAGAAAATTTTGAAACAAAAGAGTGTAAATATACTTAAGAAAAATACATCTGGGACATCAACTAAATACATTTTTGAATGTGATGGTTGTAGTAAAAAATTTTCGACAAAAGACAATCTCGCCAAACACATTTCATACAGTCATAAGACGCAAAAGAACTCGGACACCACTGCAGTTCAGACACAAGTTGAACATACTGCAGTACCACAACAAACAGAAATATTTAATTGCGATATTTGCGAATTTAAAACATCTCAAAAACGTTCCATTTTGGCACATCTTAAAGCACACGTCGCTAAACAAATGTACTGTTGTAATAATTGTGAATATAAATGTATTAGAAACAATGATTTGCAAACACATATGAAAATACACACCGGAGAAAAACCTTTTTCGTGTGATATCTGTAAATATAGATCTATTACAAAATTTCATTTGGAAACGCATATCAGAATACATACCGGAGAAAAACCTTTTTCGTGTAATATCTGTGAATTTAGATGTAATAGAAAATGTCATTTGCAAACACATATGAAAATACACACCGGTGAAAAACCTTTTTCGTGTAATATCTGTGAATATAGATGTATTACAAAAAGTTGTTTGCAAATACATATGAAAATACACACCGGAGAAAAACCTTTTTCGTGTAATATCTGTGAATATAGATGTACCACAAAAAGTAATTTCCAAAGACATATGAAAATACACACGGGTGAAAAACCTTTTTCGTGTAATATCTGCGAATATAGTTTTATTACAAAAAGTCGTTTGCAATCACATATTATGAAAATACATACTGGAGATAAACCTGTTTCGTGTAATATCTGTGAACATAGATTTATTAGAAAATGTGAATTGCAAACACATATGAAAATACATACTGGAGAAAGACCTTTTTCTTGTAATATCTGTGAATATAGATGTGTTAGAAAAAGTAATTTGCAATCACATATGAAAACACATACTGGAGAAAAACCTTTTTCGTGTAATATTTGTGAATATAGATGTATTAGAAAAACTGATTTGCAAGCCCATATGAAAATACACACCGGTGAAAAACCTTTTTCGTGTAATATCTGTGAATATAGATGTATTAAAAAAAGTCATTTGCAAAGACATTTAAAAACACACTCTGGCGCAAAACCTTTTTCGTGAGCTATCTGGTGAAAGATGTACAATATTGTGCAAACGTGTTTTATATATATATGTGTGTACCAGATAAAAATCTATTTTTTGTGAATTTGTGATGTAACGAGTAACCTTTCCGTGCCTTATATGCAAATTGAAACTGCATTTATTCTGAAGAAGTTAATTTAATACCTAATTTAAAATTTTGTACAGCCGAATTCAATATAAATTATTAAGAATAATTCAAAAACGATTGGTCAGACCTTGATCAAATTTATATGGGGCTACATGTGAAGCACCAGCTTTCAAATAAAAAAAACAGAATTATCGAAATCAGTTTATGCAGAATAAGTTAAGACGTAATAAACATAAAAAAGTACATACAGTTGAATTGAGTACCTCCTCCTTTTTGAAGTCGGTAGAAAGCAAAAAGGGAACCGTAACCTTTTGACTGCCAAAGTCGTATACTTGACAAGCATCTGCGGGCTCTGAGCGCCAACGACGTCTATAGTTGACAAAAAACCGGGCCCACAAAAATATGAAATATACATATTGGAAAACTATTACTGGTATTTTAATTCCACACTCCTCAAAAAAGAATAACCCAGCAACATGTGAGTATAAAAAACAAGTCTTCTAGAGACACAAGTACTAAGAAACATTGAACTAAAAAAAAATGGATTTTTCTCTAAGCAAATACTATGTCCAGCACGCCAAAGTCGTCTATAGTTGACCGCTAGTGCCGTGCGCGGGAGGCATAGATTTCTTGAAAACTAGCCAAAATTCAGCTCAAACGTGTTATTTTTTTTCTATTATTATTGATATTTGAATAAAACAAAAGGTTGGAATCATAAAACTATAATTATCTACATGAATAAAAAAATATCAAATCATCTTCGCATAATAAATCTAATATCTCAACTCTGGCGCATCCTTACCACGTCATCGAAACCCACCTGGGCGCCGTGGTCAAGGATAGACGGTACCTTGATGACGTCTTAAGTGATTAACGGGAAAAGTAGTGCAGTGCAACATGAACGATTCTGACTGATTTACCTAGTGCGAATAATTATAAACAATTATTGATTGGTGAATAATTATGTACCTTTTTTATTTTAATAATATAAAATCACAAATAATAAATGTGGTTTTTTTTTACTAAAGGTATGAGGAGCAATTTTTCATTTTGTGTTGTGTGATTTTCTCTTTCTCAATCTCAAAATTATCTATCAGCATCATATCAAACCCCCATTGTCATAAGAGCGTAAGACTTTTCTTCTGTGCTTCACTCGGCCTAAGTTTTTTTTTTATAGGAGAGGGGGCAAACGAGCATGCGGCTCACCTGATGGTAAGTGACTACCGCCGCCCATGAACAACTGCAACACCAGGGAGGGAATTGCAGATGCGTTGCCGACCTTTTAAAAAGGAGTACGCTCTTTTCTTGAAGGTCCCTAAGTCGTATCGGTCTGGAAAAATCGCTGATGGTAATCGATTCCACAAGGAAGTCGTGCGAGGAAGAAAACATCTTCTAAATCGCACAGTGGTGGACCGCCAATCATCCAGATGGTGTGGATGGTATCGGGAGTTCTGCCGCGATGTGCGTTCGCGAAATTTGGCGGCTGGGATTAATCCGAACAATTCCTCAGAGCACTCCCCATGGTAGATGCGAAAGAAAATGCAAAGGGATGCAACATCTCTTCGCAGTGCCAATGAATCGAGCCGATCGGAAAGGGCTCGGTCGTCGACGATTCGAGCCGCTCTGCGTTGGATGCGGTCAAGTGGAAGGAGCTGGCACTGGGGAGCCCCTGCCCAGAGCTGGGAACAGTATTCCATGTGAGGCCGAACCTGCACCTTGTAAAGTTGCAGGCGATGTGCCGGCATGAAATACTGTCCCACTCTGCTGAGCACGCCAAGCTTTTTAGAGGCCAATTTGGCCTTCTCTTCCAAGTGACCATGAAACTGCACATCACTCGATATGTCGACTCCGAGGATACCGATACTGGCTGAGGCAAGAATAATAATAATAAGTAATAATAAACTTTATTTCTCTCTACAAAATAACATTTACAAAATATCATTACATTTGAATATTAAGTAACGTACAAATGCTAGTTGTAGAGACTGGTGACGATACTAGGATTCCCTGTGCTACAGCCACCAGGCCTCCACCACCGGACAATAACTCACGTGTAATGTATATTCTGATGAAGAATGTATTTAAAAGGAAATATATTTAAAAAGAGATAAATAAGCAAAAAGGAGGTGTGTGTGTGTGTGTGTATGTGTGTGTGTGTGTGTGTGTACACGATGGTGTGGGTGTGAGAGCATGTTCAAGTGGATCACATTGTTTTGATAAGTGCCTCACTTTCATCATAGTCTTTGGTCAGTAACCATGTTTTTAAAGTATATTTACAATTTGCTCTTGTTAAAGAGTATATAGCCAGTATACGAAGGGGAGTGCCTTGAAACTGAGGAGATACAACAAAGGGGCTCTTTTTAGCGGTAAACGCGCAAACTTGTATCTTCTGAGGATTAAACTGGACTAGATTTAGTCGCCCCCAATCCGAAACTTTGTTCAGCAAAGACTCGACTGCAGACACAAGTTTGTTCCGGTACTCGGCGACGTTTTCCCGAGAAATATTGGCACGACCGGTGTATAGAGCATCACCAGTGCTGTCATCCGCATAGCAATGAATGTTACCAGTTAGCAACATATCATTGATATGCAGAAGAAACAGCGTTGATGATAGCACACAGCCTTGTGGAACACCAGCGTTAATAGGCTTGTAGTCAGAGCATGCACCGTCTACAACGACCTTGATGCTCCGATCTGCAAGCTGGTGATCCAATTGCACAATTTCTCGGGAAGCCCATAGGAAGGGAGCTTCGAAAGAAGCGCTTTGTGCCAAACCCGATCGAAGGCCTTCGCAATGTCCAGACTAACGGCCAACGCCTCCCCCTTGGACTCTACTGCCTCCGCCCATCTATGGGTCAGGTAGACCAGAAGATCACCAGCTGATCGACCCCGACGAAAACCGTATTGGCGATCACTAACAGCTGGTGATCCTCAAGGTACCGGATGAGCTGGCAGTTAATAATAGATTGCATTATTTTGGAGAACAAGGAGGTGATCGCGATAGGCCTATAGTTGGATGGGTCTGAGCGGTCGCCTTTTTTAGGGATCGGGTGGACAAAAGCTGTCTTCCATGAATTCGGGACTACGCCTTGGGAGTAGGAGTACCGAAAAAGACGCGCTAGGACCGGTGCCAACTCCGGAGCACACGTCCTCAGCACAATTGGGGGGATTCCGTCAGGCCCACTCGACTTCTGGATTGTCAGGGAGAGCAGTGCTTTGCGAACCGAGCGCCGTGAGAACAGCACATCTGGCATGGAGCACTCACACCGCGGGATGGTCAGCGGTGTTTTCCCCCCGTCATCAAGAGTCGAGTTGGATGCAAAAAGGGAGCCTAAAAGGTCGGCTTTGTCTTTTGCGTCTTGGGCCAGTGAGTCATCCTCCCTGTGCAGAGATGGTAGTGATGGCTTACAGAAATTCCCTTGGACAGCCTTGGCGAGAGACCAGAATGCACGGGGTCCCGAAGGAAGGCGAACTAGTTTCTCGCCAATTCTGCCTATGTGCTCTGACTTTGCCTTGGCAATAACTCTTTTGTTTTCTCTAACTTCTTTTCCTGGAGGCGAAGTTATACTTCTTTTTAAGTGTGCTGGTGTTTACATCCCGAGTCGCCGAAGCCGCAGCCCAGGCTTGATAACACTCCTGCTTACTGCGTAATGCAGTCTTACAGGAGAGACCAAACCAAGGCTGAGATCTGCCTCCGATGGGTACCACAGATGATGGAATAAATAGTTCCATTCCCTGTAGCACCACATCAGTGACAAAGTCAGCAAGAGCGCTGGGATCATCCGGCGAGAAGCAAACCCGCCCCCATGGGTAGGATGCAAAGAAAGACCGCATTTCATCCCAATCCGTCGACCTGTAATGCCAAACACGGCGGCAACCTGCAGAACGCAACCGCGAAGGGAGTGTGAGTGGCACCATACTCCGGATCAGACAATGGTCCGAAGAGCCGAGAGGGGCATCGATGGAAACCTGATATCCGTCCGGATGAGAGGTCAGCAGAAGGTCCAACAGGGAAGGTGTATGATGCTCCACATCTGGAATCCGCGTAGGCGAAGTAACCAGTTGTGTCAGACCATATGCCAAGGCAAAGTCATAAACAGATCTCCCTGCATGATCGGTTAAACGTGAACCGAGCCATTGGGCATGGTAGGCGTTAAAATCGCCAAGGATCACGATCTCAAGGACAGATGTCATCTCTGACATACACGCAAACTTCAGCCCGAGGCACAAAGTAGTGCTCCAATTTGTACCCCGGGTAGGAGAGATACGAAATATCAGCCGGAGGGGAAACCTGCGTCTCGGTCAGAAAGAGCAAGGCCGGCTTCGCCTTCTCGAGATGGTAGTGGATGGCGTTTAGGTTAGAGTGAAGTCCCCTGATGTTGCAGAAATTCACGAATAGCGTGGCAGGGTTCGCCTTGGTATTGTTACTCAGTTTGCCCCGAGCAGTTATGTTTTGGAGCGGAGTTTTGCCCCCCCCCCCCCCCCCCCCCGCAGAATACGCGAGGCAGCCTGGGCACCCACGCTCAGGATTGGAGTAACATGGTCGTGGATGCTCAGCGAGGGATTCTCCAGGGGTACTGGAGAATCCCTCGCTGTCGGCCCATACGTGCAACAGCAAAAACTGCTGCGTGGCTCTACCACCGTTAAAAATGTAACCGACACATTAAATATTTTGAATCGATGTCTCTATATTTTGGTTAGATCGATTTCGAAATCGATACACAACGTGCGACACGGCTACATCTCTAAGAAAGTTTCAAAAAGGAAGGTCAGCTACGCCGTTGTCGTCCAGTCGTGACAGTGACGTCATCACGATGGAGAGTAGTGCTGTGGTTTACTACTATTTTATTGTTATTGTTTGTTTTTTATTTATGTACAAAGTAGATATATA